TTGTAGATGAAATGAGCAGTCCACCCAAACAAACAAGCAAGCCTTGATTATTCACCCCGAGGTTGAGAAGTGATAACAACTAATTCCCTTCTCTATAAGCACCAGTTGTCAGAATCTCATTTGAGCTCTTGGTACTGGGCAGTCGGTGCTATAGACTGATGCTCACGTACAACAGAAGTGCAGGACTGGGTTAAAAATTGTAAAGGTGAATGCATGTTCAAGATGGTATTTTAAAATCAAGATTTATGACTTCTACTTTTGGTAAGACATCCTGTAATTGTTGTACTTTCCTCCTCCACCTACTCTCATTGTGCGTAGATGAATACACATATAATTAAAAATACCTTGCTATGTCTATTTAAAAAAGCAATACCTTAATAATTACATGTAAGGAACAAACATACATGCTAAATAGGTGTAGGATATCTGAACAGCGTGCTTTATTGCAGTGTTCACTTCTGCTCTATATGGAATCCTTCAAGGCTTCACATTTCCAACAGTTACCATGTAGAAAAGACAAAGAATTCATAGACTTATATAAAGCTTTTGAGTTGTATCACCCTCCAAAACTATATCAAATACACCGATTTGCCTGCTACATTGACCTACCAGTAACTAAAATTTTGCCAAGCATATATACATTTTTCCACAATGCCAAGGTCTAGTCTAGCATGCAAAGCCCCACCAATCCCAAGTGTTTCGATTTTTCTCTGTTTCTGTCAACATCTGCAAAAGGCTGAGTTCACCCAAGTAAGCATGTAACCTCTAAACTTGCTGTAAAGAAAGTCAGTGCTTCTGTATGAATGCTTAGCAAAAGACATTTACAGTTCTGTAAGCACTGGTGAGAACACAAGCTGAACAGGGACCTTTTACTCACTTTTATTGTATCTTTTTTATACTGGTAAAGATGTACCAGCTAACAGTTGTTTGCATTATGCTGGAGTAATAACATTATATTAATATTTTATTTTAAACAGAACTCCTTAGTTCAGAGTAAATGGTATCCATAAAGTCCAATTCTCTTTCCAGCAGTCTTTTAAAGTATGACTGCCAGGGAAGGTTAAATGTGTTTTTCCAGGATGATTTCATAGGCCAAGAAAGTTATATAGCTTTTTATATCATTCCTGTACCAGGATAATTATGCACAAAGTTCTGTGATATTTTTCTTTTCTTTTTTTTCCAGTTTTGGTTTGGTTTTGTTACTCTTGTTTTTTGTGAGTTGATGTGTGTATGACTTCTTCTTGCTGTTCACGAGAGACAGATAACGCACATGCAGAATCACTAATTTGTAGACAGGTACTAGACCGTAGAGAGCAGTTTTTTTCTAAGAATATTAGCTGCATTACCACTTACTCAATGCTATAAAAATAATGTCATATCCATCTAGGATTATTTAAAAAAAAAAAGCATTATAATGGATGTAACATAGTAAGCTATGTTATTTTGAACTTGAGCAGGAATATCTTACCTTTTCGTAAACTAGGTTGGAGGTTTGCTGGACAGGTTCTTCTTGCTCAGTTGGAACACTACACAGAATGTTACATTTTTGAAGGGAGAGGAAATGAGGTGAAGGATGGGTGGAAGGTGTTTTCCAGCCTTTCCATTCTCAAGCTTTCTGTCTAAGCAAAGCAGGATTCCTAGGCTGAAAGTCAAAGCATAATTTTGGTTACACAGCAGTAGCTGAAGTAGTACTTTACAGGAGTAGCAGGTTCTGCTGTACTTCCAGACATTGTGCCAGGCAGAGGTGGATTCCAGAACTTTCAAGAAAAAGCCCAGCCATGTACACTTAGTCAAATTGGGACCCTTCCTGGAGCTCTTGTGCAACCCAAAGTTTGCAAGAGCCTGGGGCGGGCTGCTAACTTCCCAGAATTGTTTTGATCTTCACTGAGTCTTTCCAAAAGAAACTTCAGGAAGGAACAGATGCCTGCATGTTCAGCACAAAGTTCCATACCCTGGAAGAAGGTATGTGAGCAGCTTTAAATCTACAAAGCACAGCTAGGTCTTGCAAAAACCTCATCTGACGAGAGAGGCAGATGGCTGAATGACTGGGCCTGAAGAGCTGCTCTCAGTGCCCCTTGGTCTTGGATTGACCAACAGCTGCAAGGAAAGAAAAGCTGCTGATATGTTGCGATGGACAAACCTACACGCATAGTGCCAAAATGTTTCAGGACCTTTTGCTTTGTGAGTTCTTACTCCTCTTTCAGCAAACTGACTTTTCTCACTGCTTTGCTTTGAAATCCCATTAAACATGAGGCTGCATATCCCCCAAGCCTATGGTTCAGCCAGCTGTGCTAAATGAAGGTTAAGTTACACACCTTACTGTTGTCTGCAATTTAAACACATTTAGGGGGAACTCAGAAACCATACTGTTGTAACTCCCAGAAAACAAAGAACATGTGCATCTGTTGCATCTCACGGGCACAGAACAAACCTGTGCCCCCTCGAGTGGGATCTTCCAAACTTGTCTGCTTCATGCCAGAGCCAGTGGGGAATGACAAGCTGGATGAGAAGTCTCTGTAGGTTTTACAGCTATGCAGGTATTATTTCCCAGGTTGAAGCCAAGACCCACTTACCTAAGATTTTAACATGTAATTTTCCTTATAAATACACAGAAATTACTGTTAGGTTCCAAGAATAAGGTGCAGTTCAACAAGTCTCCACAGCTGGGCATAAATCTAAAACTTCCTACTTCTTTCAGCTAAAGGCTCTGGCAGCACGGGTGTTGCATGCTTTCTTTTCTTTATATGAAACTCTCCATTCACAGCAATCTTCCTCTATGCCTAGTCCTAGCTTGACTTTATCTCTTCCAGTATTGCCTAATCAAGGTACAAACTGCATTGAACAATGCAACAAATTTTCTGTCCCACTTAATCCTTTGACTCCAATCTCCAACACTTTGTACATGCCTTTTTGTAGGAAAATACTTCCCAGTCTTCACAAGACAAGACTACTTCACTGGCAGCTGATAAAAAACAATCGACAATTAAAAAAAAAGAGATCTGACCAATCATGTTTTTAACCAGTTGTGATGCAAAGGATAATATTTTGAAAATAAAGAATACTTGCAATACTTAGAAAATTAAGTCCTAGGATGTTTCTTTCATGGGCAAAAGAGACAAAAAAAATTCTATACTCAAAGGTTAACCTACACTTGCATGTTGTCCTTCTGCAATTGCACTACCTGTAAGTATTAAAGTGTCCCAAATATATGCATGCATATCAAATTAATCCATATGTTTATATGAGTTTCTCTCTCTTTATGCATATACTCACCTGCAAAAGATCCAAAATCTAATCTGACAAATGCATGAGTCTGTACTGAAATTGCACGCACAAACGTGTGTAACACCTAAAATGCTTAGTGCAGCTGTACAGGTAAGTTTGAATAATTTTGTGTATGTATGCAAAGATGATAGAAGACATCTTTTCATGGTTTTTCAGCAACCACAGCAATTGCATTCTATGGTAAGAGGGGTACAAGTTGTTTTAGTATGCCTGTCCCACTCTCAGAAATTCCTAATTCTTGCGTATTAGTGAAACTGGGAGTTCTGAAAAGGGATGACATTTGTAGTGTTCTTGCACATGATGATGGTAGGGAGGGGAGAAAGGATAAGTTGAACTGGAAGGGGAGAAACACCTGTTGATTATTCTGTTTTACCTGCAAGCAGACAAAAATGAATCTATTCTCTCTTTGATAATTTTCCTATGCACAAATGCTATTTTGACTATTTTTCACAAGTTATGCCACTTCCATTTACTGAACAGTTTTTCTCATGACAGCTTAATTTTAAAATGGTTGACACATCCTAACAGGCTAAATACAACTCAGCACATTGATGTTAGCAAAAATATTTGTTTTTACTAAAATTTCTTTAACAGAGACAAAGGGGAAATAATACCTGGTAACAGACTGAAAGACATCCAGCATCCTTCCATTTACATTCACCTGGTGATTTTAGGTAAACCTGATGGCACTTCTTAGCGTCAATAAATCTAACAGTTCTGGCTAGTCCCTAAAGAGCCACTTGGATGGCCAAGATGAGAGCAGCATGACAGAGGCTCAAATGCAGAAATCAAGAATGTGTCTTTCCTCCCCCCTTCAATTCAGAGACCAAATAAAAATGGTGACAGTAGGATTCTAGGAGCTTTTAATATAGAAGAGGGAAGAATCCTGATCTCCTCTATCAGAAAGTACCTTTTCATACTACTTAGTTCCTGCCATTTTCAAATGAACATTCCTTCATATTGTGCAGAACAATGACTAATCCTTTTGCAAAACAAAGGTTTGCAGGAAGACTTAATATGCAAGTTAAAGTTTCTATAAAGGTCAACATAGCAGCTATTTTAGTTACAAGTATTTGAGTCATTCACAGACAAGTGATTTTCAAGGTGTGGTCAACAGATTCCTGTGAGCACTTCACTACAAGTAGCACGTCAGTTTTTTGTATGATGAACAGTTGCACACCATGCACTTGTTCCTGTCAGCTGCTTGTAAATCATGCTTTGTAAAACCCACTTTTTTCCCCCCGGTTATTACCATGCAAGCAATTGTTGTGCTAACATTATGAATGACACATAACAAAGAAAAGGTCCATGCAAGGAAGGCCTTTAACCATTTCAGATCCCTCCCACAGAGATAATTATTACATCTTACAGCTGGATTACTGCTTGAAGCAGAAAACTGAGCAAGTATGCAAAGGATTAAGTTCCAGGAGTAGAGTTGTTAAGGAATACTTCCACATTGTGAAATAAGACGAAACATAAAGAGCAAGTTAGATTTAATGATTAATGAAACTACTAACGAACCCAGCTCTTACACTTCTTTTCTTTTTTTCTTTCTCAGAATTAAGGAAAACATTGGGTTTAGGTAATCGGTAGTATATTTGAAAAAAAAAATATATGCATTGCAAAAGAATAAAAGCAACACTGAAACTGCAAAGATATTCATTTCATATAAGAAATTAAAATGATGCATTAGTGAAAAAGTGTAAATGGAAATATTTTAGTAGTCAAAATAAATATTTAATAAAAACCACACACCCAAGACAAAGTATCAAAACAACAAAACTCAGTATTTGAAAGGACACTACCTACATTGCCTTGTGTTAAACATTGCTAAGTTCAGTTGGCTTAATTATTATCACACTTCCTTCAGCAATCATTGCTTATATTAGTGTTGTAAAAAGTCATGAGAATAGAAATTCTGTTCCAATGGCAGAAATAGTAAAACCAGATAAAACAAGGAAGAATTTACTACACTAAGGAGTCAATCCACAGCCATTGATACAAAGTCAACAAGGACTACTGCATAGCATACTGGTTACTGTACCAAAGTGCATTTATCAGAATTCAATGAACTGGGGAAAAGTGACAAACCCATCCTTTTTAGTATAATTTTACATGATTGACAGTTGAAGAAAAACAACACATTTCTTTTAAAAGAAAAAGCTTTGTCTAAAGATGTTAAGAGCACCATAAGATTTCATATCAGGTAAAAGATTAAAAACCATTAGCATTGTAAGTAAAGAACATCTAAAAAGTTATTATATAATTCCATATTTAGAATGCAATTGAAAGTTTTAGTGTGTTGTTGCATCTTCCTATACTACAGTCAGTGGCGTTTTGATGACTTTTTGTTAAGTTCTGGAAACAAATAACACAAAGAAAAACAGTTTTTCTTGTGTAACAGAGGTCTAGAAAAATTTCAACTGATGATGTGTAAACCAAAATGTAGATAATGTTAGTACAAAGAGATCTGTATGGGGGAAAGAAGCAGTGCCTGGCTTATCCTGGTAATTCTCCATTCAGCTCTTCCACTGATTCTTTGAAAGTAGCATTACTTAATATCCCTGACTACCAATGATTTTTATGAGTGCTATTTCCTCACTTTTAGGGTCCTGCATTGAAGATTATTCTCAACCTTTTATCCTTTGATTCCCACCCATCCCTCCATCATATTTAAAAGTTGCAGTTTTCTCACACAGAGCATTGTAATGTCTTTTGCTGCTTGATAACTGATATGCAGTCAACATTATTTCTATTTTCAAAGCACTGAGAACACTTTCCAATTGGCTTACAAATTAAACAATAATTAAAAATAGTATTCTCCCCTTATTCTTTTGTGACATGATAAAGTCTATTCACCATTTAATATACGTTCAATCTCTTCGAGTCTTTTCAAAGCAGCAACTCTCTTTTTCTCAATGTCTTTGATTTCTTTTGTAGATTTTTTGGGAGTCTCTTTGTCTACACTGTTTTTCTCTGTTAGTTTCTTATTTTTTGAGTGTTCTTTATTGTTATCAACTGCTGATTGGGTGGTTGTCTTCTCATTTTTTACTTCTTTCAAATTCTGAAATGATTTTTTTTTTTCTTCTGCAGCTGCAGTTCCCTCTGATGGAAGTGATGACTGTTCCATAGCACCGAGCGATGCAATTTTACTTCTAACTATGTTTAGATGACGCTGAATATATTCTTCATGAGGTGCCAGTGCTAGTGTTTCAACCAGACATTTTTCTGCCTTTATTAAGTCTCGTTCTTCAAAATAAACCACACAAAGATTATGCTTTCCTTGTACATTGTTGGGATCCAATTCCAAAATTTTTTCAAAACACATTTTTGCTCCAACGATATCCTTCTTTTGGTTCATAAGGATATCTCCTTTCAAAATCAGACCTTTGGTATGATCAGGGTAGTATCTCAATAGGTCTTCCAAGACGGGCAAAGCCATCAATTCTTTTGCTGTCTGAGAATAAAGCAGGGCCAAATTGAACAAAGCACTTCGGAAGTTTGGCTGTAACCTTATGGCTTTCTTCATCCATGCCTCTGCTTCCATATCTTTTTTATCATCCATTGCCAGCATACCCAAATTGAAGTATCCATTTGCATCCTGGGGTTCTTCTTTCACATAATGTAACAGTCTTTGTTTAGCTTCAGGTCTAAGCCGAGCATCACCTAAATGATGGAGAAAACATTTAATTCTACATTTAGTCTGAAGGACTTTTAGACCAGGCCTGTGAAAGGCTAATCTTTATACAACATAAAATGCAACTGTAAAAGGGAAAGGGTTTAAAATGCTATTTTTTATCATTGTTGTGTAACAGCAAAAATAAATGACATCTACCTTCTTTACAGAATGAAACTATGTACAGTTGATTTGTAGCCAAAGTCAGCATCATTACTCTATTAGCTGTTGAATAGTATTTAGGTTTGGTATAACAGACACAAAAGGTGTCTCTATAAGTTAAAAAAAGTTATTTTCATGCAGAGTTTAGCAAATGGAATGTAGAGCAGATGTCAGTTCTGACAAACCAGCTCTTACAGAGCCAAACTTTGAGCAGATCTAATTTTATGAAAGACAGACTGAAAAAATTTAGACAGAGATCACATAGGGTGACTTCTAATGTAACCAGGCTAAAATATCTTCTAAACCCAAAACAATAAAATCTGTAACTCCCATATTTTAATTTGCATCAAAGTTTGAAAAAGATATAGTAAAACAATTTTATCTCGATATACCAGGACTGGCTAGATGAGCTTGTGGCCTGCACTATTTTACTGAATAAGCCAGTGAATATATTTTAGTAAAGAATTTCAGTCCCAGACTTACTGAAGGACCAGGAGCTGCTTTCAACTGCCCTCGTTCAACCTCCTGAAACAGTGTTGCACTTTTTAATATGAAAAATTGAATACTAGATCATTAATGCTTCTGCTTGTTTGAAGCAACCTGTGCTTCTACAGACAAGGAACAATGCATGTCTTCAACTTACAATGTGTGAAGAGATGAAAAATTATCAATTGGCCTCTGTTTCTTAGAGGGAAAACAAATTTTACCAGTTCACTTGCCAGTACTCTTTGCAACAGCTTTAATTCACCAAAGGCTCACACTTATCCTTACCCACAGAGCTAGAAGCTACACTCATGAAAAAAATACACTCATGAAAAAAATAAATTCATGAAAATCCAACTGAATTATCTTAATTAGCAGTAGCACAGAGGAACCTACGAATGCATTCACTGTTCTGGAGCTAGACATAAGCCCACAGAAGCCAGCTATATTTCTGAGTCAATAATTAAATCAATCACTATAAATGCAAAACATAGATATTACACATTTTACTAAATATTACTTTTTAAGATTATATAGGCACAATTTTGAAGATGTTTGTGTAACACTACTCTTTATATGTATAAGACGTTATATTGTAAAATAGCACTTGTATTAAAGATGCCAATCAGCTAAGGTGTATGCACACTTTGGACAAATTCTATACACTACAAATTACAAAGCTGTTATAAATAAACAGTTTCTTTTTTGATGATGCTATGTACTTCTCCTTTCCAAAAATAAAAAAGTTAATTAAAAAAAAAATTAAATAGTATGGATCCTATAAATGCAAATATGCAATAATTATAAAAGGGACAATTAACATACCAGATTCCTGCATTAGCAGTGCTGAGTTGAATAACGCCAGTTTATGCGTTGGGTTGAGTTCTAGCGCTCGGTTGAAATTCTTCAGAGCTTCCGCTGGATCTTTCAGTTCAATGTAAACAATTGCCAAGTTGTACCACAGGTCTGCATTGGTTCTGTCTAGTTCTAGAGCTCTAAGGTAAGCTTCCTTAGCTTTCAGAGGTTTGTTCATTTTTAAAAGTAATTCTCCCCTGTTAAAGAACCAGATTGAACTTTCAACTTTTATTCAAAACCATATGAAAATAATTGACAGGTTTTTTTAAACGTTTGCCTTCCTATAGACAGTAGATGTGAGATGACAGTGTTTTTTCTATTTTGTTTGTTTTAAACACAAAACAATACAAGATCCTATTTACATAACATTTCTAAAGCTTTCAGGTCTCCGAAGTCTGTATACAACGAATGCATAAGCAGGAAAACAAAAAAAAAAAGTGATCAAGGGTTCCTGATTCAGCTCTTTAATTACACCGCAGCAGCTATAGTTTAGCCATTTTGCACCACCCTAAGTCCCAATAGGATCACAACAAACTAAATAGTGAAGAGAAGCCTCAGTAACCATATTCATATTACTCTTAACTCATCATGGCTAGGCTTCGCGAACGAAGATTTGGGACTCTTAACTAAAAAGTACACTAATATCAGCTAAATAGTTAATTCTTGCATTTTCTGGACAATCTTTAATGAAGAAGCATAAAGAAAGTTCCATGATTCAGACTAACCAAAAGTTTTTCAGTTCAAAACTAAACTAGGAGATTGGAAATTTCAGTTAGAGATTCATAAAGAAAGCTAATGGAAGTGTCTTGCTATACAATGTTTGAATACAAAACCTATGTGGAAACATGCCATTTCAAGTACCAATTTAAAAGAACAGGGCTTTTAATGAATAACTGATAATTGTCCCAAATCATCATCTCATTTGGAAATGAAGAAAATCCAGCAGCTAATTCAACTGTATGAACTAAATACTGTCCATAACACTGTAAATACAAAAATGTTTATTCAAGAATATATATGTCTAAAATTAGAAAATATACCTGCTGATGTAAGCCTGCTTGAAATCCGGCCTCATACTAATTGCCTGTCGATACAACTGATCTGCTTCCTCAAGGCGAGATTCGTTTGCTCGAATTAAGTTTGCAAGATTGATATAAACGTTCAGATGGTTAGGAGCAACTCTTGCTGCATACTTTTTACCTGGAATAATCTGTCAAAGAGAATATATGTACCAAGCACAGATGGGTAAAAATATGAAAGACGATCAGTATAGAACTCCTCTTCACTCTGCCACTTTTGTTTTAGGGTACTACTGGACATTAGTGTGCAGGCTCTTAATGATTACAAAAACCAATTCTTCTTTCCCGGAAAATCATACCCCAATATAAACAAGAGTATTTTTTATTCTTTATTTGTATGAAGACACAGACGACTTATATTTAAGGTATCAGGTAACTAAGCTCTGCTACTACCTAACTGGGCTCATGCAGACAGCCATTAGAAACCAATCAGACCTTGCAAAACTTTCCCTATTCAGACAAAAAATATTTCCTAATGCCTAAACTGACATTCTATCAAACATTTCCATTCCTTTTAATAACCCTTCAGCCTAAGGTAAGTGTTTAAGTAAGATTTTACCAGCCACTGATATAGCAAATGAAAAGTAGTCAGGAAAGATAAAAATGCTATGACATTGCAACAGTTGTAGTGTTTATACTTCATCCATTTAGAGTCTTCATACTGATTCACAATAAAAACTTCTGAATGCCATGCTTCTAATCGAGGGGCTGCTGATTTTTGTTGTTAGTCTCATTGTAACCACAGCTTTTGTTACCTTCATACATTCTCCAAAATACTTCTCTGTTTTTCTCCTAAAGAGCTGAACAAGTAACATTTGCTAGCTATAAAAATAACTTAACAAATGGTAAAGGTAACAAAACACGTTTATAAAAGCATGTTAAGGCAACAATTTTTTTGTTGCTGCTCTGGCTACTTTCTCGAACCTACAATAATGTATTTAAGCCTTGTCTTGAGGGCTCAAACTCAGTCACCATCAATGTATTAGCTGTAATTGAAAATAGACCTATTGTCACCAGAAACTGTAGGTGTACATTTTTAGATGCTGCTTTCTTTTACATCCTCAATTTCAGGAAAAAAACCCCACAACACAGTATTATAAAAAGCAAATCAAAACAATTTTAACAGAATTCTCAATTAGCATTTTTAACAGCCATGATTGTATTCTTCTCATAGATCAGTTTTAAAAAAACCCTGACAAACTTTAAAGACTACAGCCACACAAAATTACAGGAAAAATACAAAAAATGTATAATGAATATAGGTTCTCTCCTGTGGTGGTAGATAAAGTTATACTGACCTGTGGCATCAATGATTTAGCAATCATATATGATTCTTCAGCTTCTTTAGTTTTGTTTAGGTTCTTGTAAGTTCTTCCTACATTCATGTGGGCACCAATATCATCTTAATAAAGAAAAGAATGAAATCTAAAATACTTCCATGCACTGAGTATCGTGAAAATAAATATCTCTGCCTTCAGAGTAGTGTGAAGTACAGGTACTCTGCATAGACCACCACCATCACAAAAAAAAAATAAATCCAATTCTATATAATTTTTCATCTTAATTATGAAGCTAATAGTTTAGCCATGAACTAAGGAGGGATTTTAAAGTTACTCAGGAAACTGTAAAAAGTTCTAGGTCATATCATACTTCCAGGTATCTATCTTTAATTTCTTGCTATAATAGAGGTACATAAATTGAAGGTTATTTATTAGACTTCTAAAAGGAAAAAGGAAAGATGGTCCAGTACTATCTAGAACTTCTTTTGCAACAATATGTAAAATAGATTAAATATGTACTTTGATGTTATCTAGATTTTTTCACTTTCTTACACACCTCCTTAGTTTTAAATAAGAAAATGAAGTAATAAGTAGCCTCCATAAGAAATTACAGTTTAAGTTAATTCAAAAAGAATGTCATCCAAATAATAGTTTTTAATCATAAGTTTTTGCATCTTTTTATAGACAGAAACTTTTTCTGAAGGACTTTTTTAGATTATTTCCAAAAACTATGGACCAAATAATTTATTATATGACATTGTTTGATGTTCAGTTTAAGAAAAACAGATCATTGAGAAGATGCTAATTAAGCTAAGCATATTGAAATACCAGGAGTGCAGAGATGACATTCAAAGGTAGTTAGTTAAAGCTTTTACCTGGTTGCACTTGTGTGGCCTGTATGAAAAACTGCAAAGCTCTTTCAAAGTTCTTTTCATTTTCTAATGCATGCCCCACATTGTTCCATAGTTTTGCATTATTCTTATTTACCTAAAGCCACAAAAAAGATATCAATGCATAAGGTATTAAGCAGAAATTACATGGCAATTGATTTTTTCTTATCTATGCCTTAAGACATAAAAATGCACAGCAAATGACTGATTTCATGAAGCTTCTATATGTAAAGGATAACAAAACACCATATCCAGAATGATTACATTCAACTTGTTGCTCAACATCAATTTATTTTAGTTATTTGGCCCTAGAAATACCAAATATTATAACATTCATTGTAATTGTTATAGGATCTTTCACAAACTGTCTTATCATGCCATATGAACTTTAAAGACATTATTCTATGAATCAACCTTTTAGCAGATTTTTGTATTGAAACATATCTTGCTTTGATCCAGACAAGAAAAATTACCATCTATTTCTTGCATGAGAATTCCCATGTGTGCATGACACTGCTTTTAAAGCATTTCCCAAAGCAACTGATTATATGTCAATACTGTCAACATAGAAATTAATGTGCCAAAATAAGCATAATTTTTCTCCATTTTTATCATGCTCTACTGCAGCTTTACAACAGCAACAAACTTTCCATTATCCTTTCCAAACAGAATACAGTACCTTTAAAGCTGACATAAATAACGTGTACTCCGACTCCCAATCCCAGTTCCTGTGCAGTGTTTTTAAGGCATGAGTGAATAGTACCGCAGCCAAACAAACCCAAGAAATTTTTCTTAGCATGCTATTAAATAAAACAGAGATTTGTTGTAAGCACACAAACAATTCTAATCTTAATTAAATATCTCATGCTGAGGCAAACAAACCAAGAACCACATTTGTGAATGGCGCACTCTAGAGTTTGAAAGGAAATAATGCCTAATTTCAAATTAATTTTGGTTTTTACCTGATGTTTTTGTTATGACTATGTAATTCCCTTAAGAACAAATGCAATTCACATAATAGAAAGTAAACAAAAATATACAAAAATTATACATCTGTTAAAACTTAGCTGTAATTTAAAACAATAAACATGATGGCAAAACCTGAGGTTCTCCAAAACACTATACAAAATTTTAAAAAATAAAAAAAGCAACTAAAATATCATCCCATTCTTTTGTTTCATATCAGACAATTCCACACAGGTTTTTTACTGCACACATTGCCAATCTTCCCCACACTGCAGAATACATCTTAACAGAGAGGTAAGTGGAGACTATGCAATCTTCCATAAACAAATATAATCCTAGTGCTACTGTAATATCTAAATAGGAGAAAGGTTTAATGTCCTTCTAGCGATTTTATTTTTAAAGCTGCAAATTGGGGCAGAAGTCATCCTCTATGGCAAGCTTGTCAGGAATAATCTTGATTTTGTGCAGTTTATTTTTCTGGAGTTTAAACATAACATATAAAACATATGCCTTAACATGCTGATCATTTTGTTTCTGAATTCTAACTTCATTATGAAAAAGCATGTCAAAGAGTCAGTAGCCTTCCTACAATTATAATTTTGTTTTAAGGAAATGTAATTCTCGAGAGGACATACAGTTGTTCAGCATGAACAGCTATTTCTTATACTTGACTTATGCAATGGCTGTTCACACCACTACCTACTTCACAGGGGTTTGCTAAAAACTGAAAGGTTTTTTTTCCCTCCACTTTTTAAGATATACAAAATGTTGTGCAGACTTAGACTACCATGACTGGTTTTAAAAATACTAAAAAAGTGGAACTGTAAAATTGTAAGCGAGAAATTCTTAAACACTAGCAAAGTGATCAATGAGAACTTGCATATACAGTAATCTATATGCCCATCAGGCTTACAAGAAAACTTTTTCTTTCCACATATTTCTAAAGCAAGGAGTCTTCTCTCTCTCATAAGACTTTTTAGAGTGCTGATCCTCAGTATTTTTGTAGTAAATGACACTGCTGCCTGATTTTTCTTCCCAGCCATCTTCTCCTGGTTCCTTGCTTTCTTTCACATCACTTCTATTTTTACTGCCTTGTAGTGGGATTTGTGAGAATACTTTCTCCTCACTCCCACAAGGTATCACTAATTTCTCGTTATGCAGGTGCTGTCAGCTTCAGCAGCACCCGCTGGCATAAGTGATACTGCCAGGCCTCAGCTCTTATGATAGCAGACAACACAGGACTGTGAATTGCTGCCTTTCCATTTGTCTGAACTAGCATTAGGATGCCATCAGGGTAATAAGGGTAAAGCATCCAGGTCAGTGGGAGGCTTGTGCAGATCAATGTAGAAGATACCAGAAAAAAACAAAAGCATGCGCAAAAAATGCTTTTAAAGCAGAATTTCATAAGGAGAAATTGTTATCCGAAGAATTCTTTAGTTTAGCAAATACTGAATGGCTCTGATAGACATTCCTAGCACAGCATATCTGAAAATTTAATCAACAGAAGATATTTTAACTTGCTGATGCACACACATTATATAAACTTCAGTCAGTAATCACCAGAATAGAGTATAAATTAAATCTGGCCAAGAAATACTTTTTGCCTAATCCTTAAAAACGTCTAGGACTTAAACAGAAAATATTTTCTTTTACAGAAAAGAGATGGGTTATACTACTAGGATCATAGGAAAAGTCTATTCTGTAGCAATGTGTAATATAAGGTACACTGCATTCTAAAAAGGTTTGGTGCAGGCTGAGGTTCTTTCTATGTATACATGTATGCTTATATATAAAATAAAAAATATATTATGCACTTGTGTGTGTATATAGATATATTTGTATATCTTTTAAATAAATTTTATAACACTGTCAGGATAATCCACCAGTTGCCTAAGAACTTCCTTGTTGTTGTTCGTTCACATAACTGTGAAATGGTTTCTTGGTCATTACTCTGCAGTCATAAAGAACTTGAAACAGAGTAAGAGCTATAATGTAATAAATTCATACTGATAAAAGCTCTAATGGGAAATCTTGTAGTTATAAATGGTTATCTTCTGTGAAAGTAAGAGATGAGTTAAACTAGTTTTAGGTAACACCACCTTACCTTTTATTTGATAATTTCCTCCATCCATGGGCTACTAAAATGCAGAATCCCATGCTAGGAACATACAACACTCGTTCTGCTACTACGAATCCAACAGGAAAAAACAGGTTTGATGCAGGAATGAATGGTAGCACTATTAAGCAGAGCGCCTAGAAAAGAAATGCAAATGGCATTAGTAATCAAGATCAGGTGGTGACAAACTGTACCCAGGAAACAAATTACATACTAACTACAAAAATAATCCCAGAAAAACAGACATAGATAGTAGATATTTGGCTGTTTTTCTTTTCAACAGTAAGATCTGTTTTACATGGAGACATCTCTGAATATGGCAAGTAGTAACCTGCAAATGATTCTACTCCTTATTTAAGGGCTTACAAGTCTATTCACTTTTCTATGCTATTGAAAAGAGCAGCTGTATGATAAATCACTAGGATCAAAAGATTAATTTCAAAACAATGTTTTAATAAGAGTTCCAGATACAAAAATAAGACAGTCTAAGAACCTTGGGCATTGTGTTTTATAACACTTAAAATTTTTTATCAATCAATATGATGCCTAAAGCAGCTATTTTTACATTACAACAGAGTCTGTTTTAGGTTTCTGTAAGAAATGTGAAGAAATAACATAAAAACCAAAATCAGCCACTGAATGAATAAACATCAGTGTTTAGACAGTGCACTAAGAGCACCCTAGAATACTTAAAGCGACAATGATCTTAAGAACTGTATAACTGCAGGTCTTAGGTTGGTGACAGACTTCTTATCAAAAAGTGTGTTTATTAAAAGGCAGAGAAATCCATCTACTGCAAAGGAAGTGGACATGACCATTTCCTTTATGTCCTGGGTCACTGTTAAATAGCAGCTTTCCAATCTCTGGTCTAAAAAAAGACATGAATAATTATTCCAAAATATCTGGCCTCCAAGTTACAAAAAACCTGACAAAACCAAACCCGCAGAAATGGAATGTTTCTTTGAATAAAGAAGAATTTTCTAGAAATTTTCAGTACAACTGGTTGATAGATTTAAGCAAAACTTGAATTCATACCATCAATACTGTCTTGGAGGAATTATCAGGATATCGGAGACTGAAGACAATCAAAGCTCCCAGAAAGCAAAAGAAGGTCAGGGTGGCAACATTTCTAACATCTAACAAAGACTCCACAAGAGGAATAGTTCCCATTGTCCAGTCACAGCATAGTTCTGAGGGGTTGAGAAGAAGCCAAGCATTTACAGGGAGGAGGTAGTTGAAAGTCAGCTGTCTTGCTGGGGATGGACTAACAGCAGCTGGGTTATCAAACCTTAAGCAAAAGAAAGGAGAAAAAGGAGCTTTTAATGAAAAAAGATGTAGTCTTGATTCACTTTGTGACAAACATCAGATTCATAGCTAGAACTACCAATTACAGACATGTACAATATCCTAATCTTTCTGCATTTGTCAGGTGTGGGACTTTGGAATCACGTACAATGATTCACTGCAGAACAGGACAGAGCCTCCAAGTTTATGAAACTGGTTTGGGATATAATCAACTTAAGTTTGAAGAAACAGAAGGATTTACACCTAAGGTTGAGTTCAGTGGCCCTTGTTCATGTTTTTAATAGTTTGTCTAATTTTTTTCAGGGACAGTAACAGATTCTTGCATTTCTACATTGCTCAAACTTAGGATAAATTAGTTTTTCAGTTCTAATGCCATTCATATACACTTATCTTCAAGCAGTCTATCCGAAGACAACCATGTTTTCTGCATATACATACCTAAAATGTATGTTTTTCCTCTTGAGGAAAAACTCAAGAGGTTTAAAGTATTCAGCAAATGTCCACATAAAGAGACAATAAAAAATACCTAAGCAATAAGACATTAAATTTACGAATTACTAAGACAAAGTCTTACAACTGTAAGTTTTTAAAAAAGGCTGCCTGCTCAGATACCTCAATACCTTGGACATTCTTGTCAACAGGTGCTGAAATATATCATCAATTTCCCAAAAAACGTAGTATTGTACAGACATTGGTTACCAATATTAAAATTAGTTCATAGCACTGAAGGTGATGTATTTTTGGCCATTTCATTCAGACCTCATTAAGTCATATCTTATTTATCGGCATCTGTAAATAAGAGACACTATTACCTTGTAAACACTGGAAGTTGAGACTGGATAACCTGGACTCTGACAACTACAAGCAGCAGTGTACTGAACATTAGGACTATGAGCTTCAACAGTGTTTGGAGCATAGAGAAAGGAATACTGCCCTTCCCTCGAAGAATCTGTACAGCTGTATCCAACAGCGTTGGCAAGGTGTACTGCAAAGCAAAACAGTGTTTATAATCAGTGTACTCATTACACTGAGCTTAAATATGAGCTACCTAATTTTTTTTCCTTAGTTGTCTCTAAATGTCTGCTCCCAAGAGTTACTTAATTCAGCTTCTTAGTGTTTTCATGACAAACCCCCAAACCAAGTCCACCATTCTAATAATCTCTATTCAAGTATTCTTGCTAACACTACCACAGTTGAACCTGTATGCCTGGAGCACTGACAGATTCAAAAATATTGTACCAACTTTGGAGACTTCAACAAATGAATCATAGGTATGACATAAACTGTCAAGAAGAAAAATCACTATTTTTAGAATTATCAGCTCTTCTGAAAACTTGTCCTATAAACAAAATTCCTTACAAACGGTAGAAATGCTATTCACTTTCTGATTACCCTGGCTTTCTATTTTATATTATATATATTATATATTAAATAATGTTATATTTTATATAACATTATGATCTTTCATTATTCCCCTTTACATGGCTTAATTTCTTCCCTGTGTACCTCTTTCTCTAAGTCTTCACGACTTCTGCTGGAGATGATTTATTGCTTCACATACACTGGTTGGCTAAACTACAGAAACTGAGAGGTTTCTGAGAACTGGTCAAATTCTAAGTTCATGCGACACGTGTGCATTCAGAAGAAGCCTCAGCTTGGATTCTATCTTTCCTATTTAGTTGACTTACACAAACTAAACTTTCATGAAATTGAGATCAGACCTCAAGATACTAAAAGAAAGGAAGAGTGGATTTAAAACCAGTCACACACTGATGATTTCCTTAGAAACCCAGTTTGAAAATTGTATGTTTATTCACTAGACTTGTAAAGGCAACAGTTACAAAGACATCTATGTGATTTTGGTATTTTGGCCTTGAATATGTATTCCCCAAACAGATAATCTTTCAGCTTTTATTTGGTGCATTTTTTACAAAATATTCCTTCAAATAATTAATTTAAACTACAAAATTTTCTTGTAATATGCAGTCATACATTTTTTAATTGCATTTGTTTTGACTATTAAAATCCAAGAATTATTTAATTGCAGGAACAACTTGTTTCTTTAAGCAAATTTACGATTAAAGGTTTATCAATGCTTAAAATGAAACCTATCAGCTAACAAAAAATTTTGAAAGAATATTACTTATTCAATAGGACTACTCCAAAACATCTGGTTACCCATTAGAAAATGATAAAGTATATTTGTATATAATGTGTTCTCTGTTTTTACTAGAGGGATTAAAAACAAATAATCCCCCATCTTTATGCACCTCAGACTTTAATCAAGACTGTTACATGTTAGTATTTGCAAATTTCAGTTAACTAAAACCTTAGGTTTCCATTAAGACCTATTAAGTCTTTATTGAATATATTTGCTAACATCTCTGTATGGCATGTAAAGGATAACTTGGAAATCATTTGATTCCCTCACCATGAACCATTTATGTCAACCATTAACTGACTTGGAAAAAATCTGAAAAATGTAAAAGAAGTATTGAGTTTGCCTAAACTGAGAAAAATCAGCACTGAAATAGGATGCTTCAAAGTACTTTATGCATCATAACAGAATTCCTGAGATGAAATCCACTCTATTTTTCAACAGCTTACCCCTTGAGCAATAAATACTTCATACACACAGCATATTCCAACCACTGTTATTCCTTGTTCTTTACACAGTGTTGCAACAGCTACTAGAAACACAGTCACTGCAATTGGAGTCCACACTGCAAATAAAGAAGACATTACTGAAAATGCTCCATCTTACAAAAAACACAAACACACAATAAAGTAAATTAACCTAAAAAGTGAAGACTTTGGCTCTTCATGTTTGAATATGCCAGGTTTTATAAACTTGTTCAGTATGTAATTTCTTAGTAAAGGGAAGATCACCAGTTTTACTCTACAGAAAATAATACATATGTATCAATTTTAAAACTGTCTCTCTTAAATTGAAAGAACTAAATGAAAGGTAAAAGACTAAGCTATAATAAAGAAAACAAAAAACCTTCTTTCTTAAATCACCAGAGCACTTTTAGAAATGGAATACTTTATAGGGAGTCAGGAATTTGCACAGGGAGAATTTAACTCTGGAAAGGAGGAAAGCCTCCTTCACTTACACTGAAACTTTGCAGCTTATTTGTGATTGAACATCTGAAGCACCTCAGCATACTTCCACTTAACTTGCAATAAAAGTCAGTGCATGAGTCCCCTACTGCAGATGTTACAAAACTAATGAAGAAATGCCTAAGTCTTGAATTAAAAACAAAAGGAAAGCAGTATTACATGGGTATCTTGGGGCTGATGGGGTTTTTTACACACTTGCTGAACCAGTACACCTCTATTACAGTTTTAAGAGCTTTGTTATCAGTGATAAAGAAATTAAGTTATATATCTATTTGTCAATCATTTACCTATGGTATTATCCGGCCCTTTAGATTTTGTATATGACAAAAAAGCAGCTAGGAAAAAAATAGATGATAAAAGCTCTGCTCTGCCCACAACTCCAGTTACCTGAAAAGTAAAAGAAGAAAAACCATAATTATTATATTTATTATTATATTTTAAGATAGTACTTGACTAGCCTCACAACAACTCACAGAAGCTGTGATTGTTATTTTTGTTTGTAGCTTTTCTAACCTGTTGAACAGACCTGAATCTGAAAGCAGCATTCCCTCAACCGGTGCTATGGCAGCTCTCAGGTGAGCAGTCAACAGTCACAAATAAATTGATGGGAAGCCAAGTGCAATAACGTTAAAGAATGACTCAGGCTTTACTACAGGTCTGGCAATTTTCTGAATGAAAATTTGGTTGGCAATATAAAAATTACAGGTAGTGACCCCTTGATAATGAGAGAGACAGGAATGGATTTTATGAAAATCTGGAGAAGTGCTAAAACCCATAGGGCAGAAGGTTGTTTCAGAATCCCCAATGAAATACAGATTAATTTCCACTTCAGGAACTGTTTTCAAAAAACACTGAAGTGAAACCAACCAGAGATGGAAGACAGATCACTATATTAATGGTTACTGCAGTAGCCACTGTGTTGACCGGAGTACCTTCTAGGACCACTGTTCCTCCTCACTTGTCCTCTTCTGTAATGCCTCTGACTGCTTCCAAACTTTTGCAAGTAAGATAGCTGAAAAATGGCATGCTATCCTGAGGTAGATGGTCGTATTCAGCTAAGGAAACCTCATAGCTCATGCTTTAACTATGATGATGTTGAAACCTGACTTTTTGCTGTCCAGCCCCAGCTCAAAATTTTTATTGCTAGGTACATTCTTGGTCAAGCATGATTGATCCGGCACAGCGTAAAATGAGAAAGTAACTCAATATCCAAGGTCACAGTGTAAAGATAACCATTCAAATCTGAATCTGAAATCATACACTAGTGTTTCTTTTTGGAGCACTGTATGTTTACTAAACAAGTCACCGAATCATGCACAAACACTGGTAAGACACCACAGTTTGTGTTAACATTTTGAATAGTATGTAGTTGTTTGTTTCCAAAATATCTTAAGATGTTTCAAGGATTCCTGGTCTGGATCTCAAAATTGTCCAGCATTAAGACAGACATTAAAGAAAACTTTATCTGTAGATCAGTTGGGAGACCATTAGTAAAGCAAGTGTGCTGGTGTGCCTCCAGGGTCCCCCGCCAACAAAAGAGATTCTATTTTTGGATACAAAGGTGATTTATGAGAGAAAATTCCAGCATTCACACTGTTAGTTGTAGCTATAAAGGTGATCAACATGCTTCTGGCCAGAACAGTAGCAAAGCAGCTAAAAACACTAAACTGGAAAGACAAGGACAAATGAAACTACAGTGCTGTTATTCAACCTATTTCATCACAACTTAGATATTACCACTGCAAGAGCCTACTACTCCCTGAAGTCAAACAAAAAATTAATTTCTATCTATCTTGCTCTGCTAACTTTTCCAGGAAAAATATGTTTATCCTAAGATAGGCAAAAAGTGTTGAAATATTTATGTATTGCATCTGCTGTTTCAAACTCTTGTGCAGGTGACTAATAAGTAGTAAATTAATTTGAAGGCATTTAAATCAGACACATTTCAATTATAAAAGATACAAAAGATGCCATCAAATGACATAAAATGTGGAAGTGAGATCTGGTTTAGAGTTTTCACTAAAACCTGAGTAAGTCAGTCAGGACCCAAATCCCCAGCCCTAACCTAAGTCTCATTATTAGCTCCTCTCTTCCATGCGTGGAAACTGTCAGTTATTCTGCCTTTTATACATCTGTACAAGTCTCAACTGCCAACTCTACAAATTCTCGGTTGCATATTAAGCAGAATTCTCAATACAAACATATGTAAGGATAAAATGCACTACTTCTCAGAAGCAGAGAGCTTAAATTGAAAAAGATGGGGGTAGGCAGAAGAAAACCCTCTAACTGATTCTTCATTGACTAGTTAAGTACAACAGCAGGGGAATTCAGCTACAATTGCACTTTAAACCTTACACTAAATATTTCAAGCACACCTCCAAGTTCCACCAATCCCAGTGTTACAGTGCCCTCATGTGGCTGATATCAGGCTTTACACAGTAACTATGTAATACATTGCCTTACACAAGTAGCTTTTGTTACAGATTGTGTTATAGGATTTGTATAATACTTTTTGCTAACTCTGATGCACAGTATAAAAGCACTTGTGTTAACTTGTTATTTCAGACAGAATCGACAGTTCAAGCATAATCACTGAATTTGGAATGAAAGTGATAAAAATACATAGTCAGATCTAAGCCGTGACCCACCACTATTAGTCACTGGCAAGTTGCTAATGCTCCTGTAAAGATACTATCACATTTATAACACAGATGCAAAGCCAAACATGGGAATTTAAAGCACGTTTTTTCAAAGAGCAAGAAAACCTTAAGAAATAAACACATTTTTTTTGCTTTGGAACAAGCAAAAATTTTTAGATGGTTAACTTTTGCATTTTTAAACATTCCACTAATTTCTAGTAAGGACATTTTAGTAGCTCGAATAGCAGCCAATTTTAAACTCAACTCAGTTCCTATAAAGATTTGCTCAAAATACATGGATGCAGTTTTCCGAATTGTAACTGACAGGGATTTGTGTTGTTACTGATTAAAAGAGAGATGTAAACTCTTCACATAAAAAAGACAACACCTCCAAAGAATCAAAAGATCCAAACACTTTCAGTTTTCTGAAAATCAGCTAATGCTGTAAGAAAAAAAGAGACTGAATAAGGGCTTTGCAAAACCTCTGTACTGGAATCGAGGAAAGCCAATCGAAGTGATGCAGAAATAACAGCAGAAAATGCCACAAATCTGCTTTATCAGTGTTTCTGATGGAAACAAATCTAGTTAATGGCAATCACAAGACTTCATTTACTCCACAACACTGCAAGCTTGGTTGGCCATTAAAAGGTATATAATCAGACAGCTTGTACAAATAAAGCTTTTCATAGCAGTGAAAAACTCCCTCAGAACCACAGGAAATATGAGAGGACAGAAACATCTTTCTTCTTCCTTCTATCATATATGTTAAAAAAATGGAAGGTTTAAACAGAATGGCCCTAAGTTGGATATAGCGTTAGCAACAACAATCCCAGAGAAAGTCACACTGAGATAGAGATATCGACATAAAAGAAAGCAGACAGAATAGACTTGGTGATTAGCCAGAGGGGAGTGCTTATTGATCCGGAAATGAATTAGGCATTCAGAGTATTTGAAAATAGGATACTGGATGAATCATCCTGGAACATGTCTATGTAAACTAAAGTAGTCATCACCACAAAAGCCAGTGTTCATAGCAGAGACCTAAGTTATTTAATAACTAAATTAACATTTCTTTATTTTTCAGTAGTTGCAAGTAATATAAAACAACTTTGAGCATTAAAATTTGTCACTTCCACCAGTCATTGCAAAGGGAAGAGTAAGTATGAGTAAAACTACATTTTCTGGAGTTACAACATATATACAAACTTAGAAACAAATCCCGCAAAGTTTAATTAACACAGTTTGAACAAATTAGCCCATCACAGCTATACCTACCGCTTCCGTATGTATTGGGTGCACTGCAAAGAGCAAGGATGCAACTATGCTGCTCCTGTTGTCCAGAAAGAGCTTACAGACTTTGAGGAAGACTATGCAAACCACCACATGAAAGACCAGATTTAGAAAGTGGTACGAAACTGCATTTAATTCGCTGAACAAGTAGTTTAAGCGAAACGTAAGAACTGTAAGGGGACGGTAAGATTTGTGACTCCTCTCCTAAAAGAAAATAAAACAAATCAATCAGTCACCACCAATTTACAAAGTGACTTTCACTCCAAGATACCTTTCTAAAAACCTATGCATACATGACTCCCCCTCTGTTCTCAAGCATCTACTTTCAAAATAAAGGTACAATTGGTAATAGGAAAAAAAAATTTAAAAATCTAGTTAATTTAATAAAAATCTGATTTAAAATTACAATGTTAAGCAGAAAAAGTTAATTCTGACTATTTTTCCTACTTTCACATAGTTTTAATGTATTATTCAAGTATTTTGATTACTCTCCAATTTCATGTTTTAGATCAGTATTTTATAAAATAAAAATGTGGTGTACTGAGTTAAATGTATTATTTACATATTTGCAATATATCTACCAGTCAATATGTGTATGTTGCCACTGACTCCATCCAAAAACCCTTTTAAATACTACAATAACACCACCTTCATGTTCCAAAATGCATTTGTTAACAAACAGCCTATTGATATTTTGATGAATTTGTCCATAAAACAAAGGAAGAAAATCTAAGAAAAAAATGGGAGGTGGGATGGGGAGGAAAAGATGGAAGGCGAATCAAACTGAACAGACAGACAAAACCACAAAATAAGAAAAAGTATTCTAAAAGCCATGAACAATCAAATTAATCTCACTTAATTTAGTTAATTTAAGATGACTTTCAGTTGGTTTTAAGTGCAAAATCAACTCTGAATGAGACGGTTTTTTTCTACTACACATGGTTAGGGATTTTTTTTGAGAAATGACATGTTGAAAAATACTACTTGGAACTTTACTGAGAGAGTTAGGGGAACCCACTTAACCCTCAATGAATACAGGACTAAATAACTGAAAGAATCTGGAAGTTCTTCTTAAAGGGTTATATGAAAATTATGTATCAAAGTCTACTCATAGAGCTAGCAATTAGTATCTCACAAGTATGTTATTGACATAAGAAAATATTATATGGTAGAATACCTTGATAGGCAGAAAACCTATGACTGTCAGAGAATTTTTGTTCATTTGCTCAGCAATGGCACCATCTGTAACTTTTTAAACTGTATCTAAATCCTTTAGCCCTTGCCATGTAATGATGCTTATCAACAACTTCAATGCCAATGCAGCTTTTCAGATAAAACACAGCCACTCTACATGGGCTACAAAGCAGAAACTCTGATTTCACACAGATACACTTACTCAAATAAATTTAAAGGATTCAGTGTCTGTTCTCTAAGTCCAAGTTTTTTTGCTTAAGTGTTATCTTTCCTTCCAGACTGCATTTAGAAATAAATACCCCTGTATGTCAACATATAACTTTTGCAGGGAAGAGAAATTGGTCAGAGTTGTGTAATTTTGATACTGGAATTAGATAGTAATCAGCATTTTGCAGCTGTGTGCTGTCTATACAACTTTATATATATATATATATATTTTTATATATATATATACACGACTTTTCTTGCCAGTTCTTTTAGTGAACAAAGGGAAAGAATATAAGCAACATATGTTCCTGATATTATAGTACAAAACACTAACACCTCCAAATTCCGTCTAATCCAAAATATTCTCTTAAAATCACATTAGGAAAAGAAGTGGAAAAACTCTCTGCAAGGGTGTTGTTTTTTTTCATTTCCTAAAGCCTCAAAGTGTTTTACAAAGTTTACCTCAGACATGGGAGTGCCCCAGAAGTCATTTTGAAAAAGATTTTTTAATGGAGTAGAAGGATGCAAATCTTTATTGTCCAAAATCGCTGAAACGTCATCAAAAACAAAGCCACAAAAGAGACTGTTCCAGTAGCAGGCTGCCACCACACCAACTATCAGTGCTGCTTCCTTCAGGCTTACATCAGCCATCTTCTCTAAGAGTTTTCATGGACAAAAGCTGAAATACATGGACAGAAACTTAAGTAATTTTAGTAATTAGAAACTAAACTTGACAAAGAAAGTGAAATTAAAACAGTATTTTATAAGTTAATGACACTACCTACCGAAAAATCAGTAAGATAGAAAGTTTTCCTCAAGTCTCATGCATGTTACACAATTTAGTGTTTAAAAACTCTCATTAAGAAGTCTCACCCTTAAAAAGCCTTTGCAGAAGGTGCATACACTGCTATCTTTCATGTTTTACAGAAAAAAAAAAAGTATTGATAACATATTGTGATGTAGTTTTTGCAGACAGCTATGCAGTTCAAGCAAATGCTGCAAACTGAAGAACTATGAAAATTAAGTTCTCTAGAATCCTGAGTAATTTAAAATATTGACACAAAATTCTAAGTTACAGGACGCATATGTGTTAATTATTGATGGGGTTTAGGTTTAAAGTTGTTTTTCAAAATATTTCAGAAGTAATTAAAACAAAGACAAATTTCAAATAATCAGAAGATCAAACAGGAAACTTCAAGAAGTTCATAAATATATGTGTTCAACAGGTAAAGGACATTAATAATAATTAAAAAGTTAAATTTACCATTGAAGCTCAAACCTTGCTCATTTGCATTCTTCATAGAAGTTCATGAAAAGGTCATTTTTTCTCTCCACTCTGCCAATTGCTCTGGTGTCACTGACTGTTCATGAGAGTCCTGTCTAAAAAAAATAGATACAAAAAAGACACTACAAATGAACTTTAGCTTACATTATTTTCTCTCATCTTGCATAAACTTCCTAAACCCTAGAAATTATTAATCAACAATATTATGATTATTTACAAAATACTATGTGGGTGAACTGATCAAAAGGTGAAATTACTGTGTATTGTGTTGTTTTAAATTACTGTTCTGCCTTGGAAGAATAAGAAGGTAACTACAGGTCAAAGGCATTATTTTTGACCACTGGTTGACACAGCATGGATCACTGCCAACTGTTGGGACCAAAGACATTGAAAAGCTACAGAGAGTTAAACAATTACTTCATTTTGAGAAAAAGAAGAGATGACCGAACAAAAAATATTTTCCCCCAAACTACAGAGGGACACAGAGCAGCTAACATTAGCCAGATAATGCAGAGCCATAAATATGTAAAAACCCCAGCCTTATGTTTATCAGGGTTCACACATCAAAGCTGATGAGCTCTTCAGAAGCTGTAGTCTGTTTTACCATCCTAAACCCTGAAATCGTGGTGATATTTTTTTCCTTTGGTTTGTTGATTTTTTTTTTAATTGTGCAGATTTATCACATAATACCTGGGGTTGGAAGGGACCCACAAGGATCACTGAGTCCAATTCCTGGCCCTGCACAGAACAACCCCAAGAATCACACGATGTGCCTGAGAGCATTGTCCAAACCCTTCTTAAACTCTAAGAACAGGCCACAGAGATCTCATCTAGAGAGGTGACCTTGGTTGTGGTTTGCAGCCTGGACCTGAGAGCATGTCAATCACCTACCACAACTGGGGACAAAGGAGTAGTGGTACAGGAAGGAATACATGTGAAGCAAGATGCTGGTGCAGTTAAACTAAAAACCAGGACACAGATCATTTAAGAGGAATGAAACCAAACCATTCCTTATTACTCACATAATGGCAGTGAAGGGCTTTTTTTACTTTTCCAGTAAAAAACCCCAAAACAATGTTAAAGGATGTTGCTACATCTGTTTCATAGAATCATACAATGGTTTGGGTTGGAAGGGATCTTAAAGATCATCCAATTCCAATGACCCTACCATGGGCTCAGAGTACTTTAAACCACTAAACCAAGATTACACCTGAACATATTTACAGTCTTCTTGGCAACCAGAGATATCTTATTAAAAAAAAAAGAAAACAAATCATACTGCAGGAATACATGAAAAGACAGTCCACTTTTGAACTTCAACTTAAAGTATTTTAGTTCCCCCTCTTTCAAAGGATGTGGATAAGAAACTGATGTTTCTCTCTCTGCTAGAATTTTTGCAACAGCTTCTGAATAGTGCGCTTTCTACTTCTTGAAGGTCACTAATTCTACTGAAAAGCACTGACATCTGAAAAGCACCGAAAATCAATATGTAATGACTTTCCAACATACAAGCCTTTATTTTTTAAAATACTGTGAAAAGATAACATTGTGGCACAGAACCAATTTTAAGGTTTATTTAAATTCACCCTTTAAGAAACAGCATTGTAAAACAAGTAGGGTTTTGGTGACCTGAGGTATTAACAATATCAATTTACTGTATTGGTTGAAGCATCAAGCCCTTGCAGTTACTGCTTGCGCATCAAAGAGAAATTGTGGTAATCCTTTAGCAATACTTTTCAGAAACAGCTACTGCCACCCAACAAGCAAAAAACTAAGACCGATTCCCAAGTATTGCTTCCTATCAAAAGGAAAAGCTTAACCAATCTCATTAGTTCCTTCAACTACGTTTTGTAGTAGAACTACTACTTCCTGCTGGGTCCACCATCACACTCCAAGCTTCAAACCTGCAATCATCATTAACATGTTGAGAATGCAAAACTAAAGCAGAGGGAGGCTTGTAAAAGCTCATCTGTACTTGGTAAGCCAGGCTAAAGTATGCCTGCCATTAATCTCAAGTAGAAAACAGCAATTGCTACCAAAACTCTTCTCATGCCAACTAATCTGTTATCACTTTGATGCTGGAAACTAGGAAACCATGTAAGGAGTACACAAGACTGAGAAGCTCATAAATCACAGATGTGCAAGAGGCTGCTGAAGCCTTGGTATGACTGGGCTCCTCAAGTGAATGGATACATTCCCCTTCTTACCCAATAGACATGTTGATCAACCCAAGTATCGTCTTGCAAGTGCCAGTATTTCACCACTCCCAGTGTTGATAAACTCTTGTAAAATACCGCCTAACAACTCCTTTCTTAACACAGACTTGCTGTGAGAGAGAACTGCATCACTGTTTGATAACCACTGAAAGTCCTACACGTGTAAACAGACTGACAATCCCTCAAGTCATTTTTTCATCTTACCTACCTGCTACTTTCACAGCTTCTAAGGCTGCCCATCAGATACCTTAACCACCCTTTAGGCTGTATGACTGCCAGTTCATGGTCTAGTACACAGACACAGAGCCACTGTTTGACTGGATGAACTCAGGACAGACACATAGTTTATTACAAAGACCTCTGTTGGATGTTCTAATTTACAACAATATCTGACCATGCCATGAGGAATACACAGCTGAAAACATTAAACAGCAAGATAAGCCTTGAGAGGCAGAAACTGCACAGTCATGAGAGCCAACTGTGTCAAAAATACCCAAGCTGTGCAAAACACCCGATCGTTGGTCTAAATTTCTTAAGCTGTTTGGCACAGAAATCTGCATTTTGCACTGCACTGTTTCCACGTTTGTACAGAGAGATTAAGTGGAAAGGACCAAAGAGAACTAGAACTCTCAAGGTAGTTTGGCTTGTAAGGCCAAAGTTTTCCTCTTCCAACTTCTTGAGATCCCTCTAACAATTCATCCAGTCTTCTCCTTCAAGAATTACAAACAAGACATAAGAAAACCCTGTAAAACTGAAAAAATACACCAACAAAAAACCCAACCAACCAACAACAACCAAAAGCCAAAGCACTTTTAGAAAGGTAGGAAAACAAAATATTTCTCTTCTCTAAACCCATGACACTATAGATGGTGCAGCACCACATGCTGCAAAATACAGTAGTCTGCACAGAAAAACTCCAACATAAATAAAAAAAGGCATAATGATGTTCTAAAAGTATCCTCAGTTGGGAAATTTGGGAGTGCAGAAGACATTTTCTACCCATATCAATTTAGAAAAAAATAGGAAGTGTGTATTTTGGTAGGAATGGAGCTGCAATCCCTAAACATGCAAAAGCTATTTAGCACTCCATAATTAGCTATCAGCTAATAATCATGCTATCTGCCACATTATATTAACAGACCCTCACAGACACAAATATATTTGTGTAAGTAAGTCAGATAGTAAGGCACATCTTACTATCTAACTTCAGAAACTTAAAACATACATTTAAATTTTTTCTTCTAGGGAGTAATGGCACTTTTCACACCCTGAAGGTCATTAATAACAACATGTGTTATGACTGTTTGCTAAAAAAAATAGTCAGGCATTTCTGGAAATTTATTCACTACAGAGACATAAACTTTGCTAACCACTGAAGGTCTTGAACTGTTTAAAACGTATTTACAGTTCAAACAGAAATCCATCAAAGGTGGAAGAAAACAAAGAGCCACTCCCAAATTTAATTTTTTTTATTTTTAAACAATTGAGCAATAAGTTCATCTAAGAGGGGTGGCTTGAACTGATGAATATCAGCAGAGATATATATATATAAACCAGTAGTGCAGTCACTTAAAACTAGCATTTTAATTCAGCTTCTAAGGCTCTGCTAAATATCCTACTAACTTTTGCATACTTTTATTTTGGGCTAAATCGAACATTCTTCCTGCTGATTTGATACAAGTGTTTAATGACAGAAATCATAACTTTGTTTCTGTTGTCCCTTTCCAACACAGCCATTAAATTTATCTTCTCTTAAAAATGTCACTCTAACGTACAACTCAAATGCAAAATAACTTAGATGCACAGTTGAGATTTAAATGATTGAGTCTGAATCTGATCTAGAAGGGAAGCAGTGTTTGGGAAGATGGGAGGAGAAGTGATACAAAGCATGCCTGGATTCCCCTTTCATCTTGCTGAGATCCTAGAAGAGAATAAGGTATAGCAAGAAAAGCTTTATTGTGAAAGCCTTCCTCTGCAAATACTACCAGATCAAGAGGGATGGCATCAATACAAAGTAATCTTTGCTACCCAGGAGACAATGCCATCCAGCCTGCTCTTCATACGGTTCTGAAGGATCAATCAGTAGAGGACTGGCAGCTCTGATATGAAGTCAGAACATGTTGCAGGCCAGATGAAAGATTTCCGAAGGGGAAGACTGGAGAGCTTGCTGGCAACCAAGCAGCTGAACTAACACTCAGAACATTTTAGGTTACTCTGGTACAAGCATCAAAACATAACACAAATTTAAAGTTGGTGAGATGAAGATACTGATTTAGCTGCTGGTTTAGCTTAAATTTGTTCAGTGTGACTGGTATAAATCAGCTGAAATACAAACCACACAGGTCTAGTCTGTATTTTAAGGTATTTTATAACTTAAATCATTAACAGAATCTCACATTTCAAAGTTATACCTTCAGGTTTTCTAGGGTTGAGGTTTTTTTGCTACATTCAAACAGTAACAAAATAACACCTGTTCTATTTTGAGTAGCTACATAAAAAATATTTTGCCTCCTCATAGGACACTGATGCAAAAATAGCATCCCTGAAATAACATGGATCACCACTCTCAGTGTTCTAGAAATGCAACAGCAGAAACTGCATGTTTGTTAACTCCAAAGAATAAACAATCAAAAGCTACATGGGAGGTATAAGCTGGAAACACAGCTTTCAGGCTCTGCTAAGCATGTCCTTATTTAGTATGCTGGGTCTGTATATAATTTCTTGTGGTATTTTAAATAACATTCCATTAGATCTTTCATATCAAAGGTCCTTGCAATAGCATAGTGTTATCAAAGCTGCAGTTTAACACAGACACCTAACTCTCCTGTCAATCAGAGTAGGTCATACTGTGATCTAAGGACATAAAATAACTTTTGCTCCCAAACTACAAGCACATATTCCCAATAAAAGAAGATCCACTTATGCAAAGTTCATTAGCTGATTAGATGTGATGCAGAACAAAAGAAAAACTAATTCACTTGGTTTAAGCCATGTTGTATTTTAAGTGTTTCCTTATTTTTTGTGGGGTTAACATCTCCATTCTTTTTACTCTTTTTTCACTTTTGGAGTTTCCAGGCCCACCTCAAATCCAATTCCTGCACCAATCTTCTTACTAGATGCAATTAGAACCTAGATGTGGTTTCACTACCAGTCTATGTAATGGTGTGTTTTCTGTTGATTGTGTAATAGGACACTAAAAAACGCTGAAGCACGTTAAATAGAGCACACTAAATAGCTATACGGGCCTTAACAGTTTGTTAACCTGATGAAGAGGATAAAAAAGAAGTTCCTATAGCTAAGTATCCTAACATCAATGAATTATTTTCTCTATCACAGGAGGATCCATTTCCTGAAAGTTTATTTTGTAGCAAGGCACCATTATTCTCAGTGCGTCACTTGTTCCACCTATAAAAGTCACTGCTACTAAGAAATTGTTCTACACTTAACCAAAATGAATTTTATTTTAGTAACATTACCCATTCATGAAATATAGTCTAGTCTCTTTCCCTTCCCTAACTACACAGTTTGCTTTTTGTAGCCAATATGGAACTATAATTAATCAACTCTAGATACAGTATAAAAGTCTTCACTTTTAATCTAAGAGCCATGCTGTAACTGGAACAAGTTGCATAACTATAACGAGTGCCAAGCATCTTGCATCTTGTCAGCCTCCATTAAATATCAACACTAATGAAGAAACAGCAAAGAAAATTAAAGCAATGAATAACCCAGAAAAAGGGCAAAAGCACAAAGATAATATTATGATCACCTTCCCCTTTCCATTAAGAAAAAAAATAAACAAAACAAACCAACAAATCCCCTTCAACTCTCCACAGCTGTTGAATGAACAACTACAAAGACATAAACACGTCTCGAATGGTTGCTGGCCTTCCTTGTTTATTGGAAAAGATGCCTTCACACCCATTTAACTAAAACACAAGATCCCTAACTTTTGGGGCTATCAGACTACTACTAAAGCTCGGACTGTCTTGCTGGTCACCAGTACCCTATGGATTCGAGCAGTTTATAGATGTTACCTGTCTGGTGCACTACTTCACTCCGCAGAATAAACACCTCCTGGGCCCCCGCTATTCCACACTTACACACAAGGCACCCGCGCAGTCCCGCAGGCCTCCAGCGGCCGAGCAGGAATGAGCATGCCTCCAGCAACCCTGGGGCGAGGTACACAACGCCAGGCCGGGTTGAGCGGTGGAAGGGCCGAGCCGGGGCGGGCCCGTGCTCTGCTCAAGGGGCCGAAGTCGCACCGCAGCCCCGCAGGCCCGGAGGGCGCACCGCTGCGGCCCGGCAGGCACGGCAAGCGGGGAGAGGACCGAAACGACGGCGGGCAGCAGCTGCACCGGGGCGCCCGCCCCACGCCGCCGCCGCTGCCGGGCCGTACCCGAGGCCCCGTACCCGAGGCCCGAAGGCCCCACCGCACGCGCACCGCACCGCCCTCCGGCCCGCGGAGGCTGGTGGAAGGAGGCGGGCCGGGGGCCCCCGAGCCTGCGGCAGCTGTAGTCCGGGGAGCCGCCCGGCGCGCGCGGGGGGTGCTCGGCATCCTTGCCCCGGCGGGAGCGGCGGGCGCGCCGGGCGGGCAGCGCCCTCCTGCCCGCCCCTGAGGACGGGAGCGCCCGCCTGGACCGCGGCGCCTGTCTGTGGGTCGCTCGGGGTTGCCGGACTTTCCCTGCGCCTATGAGTACCCGGCTGCTTACGGGAGCCGAGCTGGCGGGAGAGTCTGACTGCGTCACCTGGCAGCGGCCACCGCCATCTCCCGGGAGCGGTCTGAGGCCGAGGGGCGGCGGTTGCTCCGGGGAAAGAGAGTCAGACCTGCCGGCGGCAGGGCGGCCCGCGCCTGCCCCGGGAGCGCCGCGGGCAGCCGGTGGGGAGGCGGGGGGGCCGGCGGGCTGGGCAGCGTCCCAGTGCGGAGCACGGGAAAGGCACATCCCGCTGGGGCTGCGCTCGGCTGATGCCTCAGCTGTGTCTCGTGGTGAAGGCGGCCGAAAATAAGGCAACTTGTTAGTTCATCAGAGTTGGATGAAACGGAGGCAAGTGTCTCTCGGCAGCATCTTGGAGGGATCGCGGGCTGTCAGTGTATCATTGCTGGGGCTGGGATATATACCAGTTGGGAGAAAACTGGAACCCTGCAAAAGATCCTCTTTTGGTTGGGGTTTTGCAATTAAGATCTCGTGCTTCAGAGAGCTAGGCCAGGTAGTGCAATTTGAAAGTCCAGAAGTAGCTTAATCTGAGTTGCCCATAGTAAATAAATACAGAGCTAGCCTTGTGTCTATGATGCTTCTTGGTATTCAGTCTTGCTCAAGTGTACATGATTCTGTGCTGGCCATTATACACGCCTTTGCAGAAAAAGAACAGCTGTGCCTACTGGTGCTTGATTTCACTGTGTTGATAAGGTATCATCATGTCAGCTTAGCCGCCTCTTTACGTGGTTTCCTTTAGGCAGCATGGGAATTGTTGGTCTGATCGTACTTGAACACACTCACCAGATCTTTTCTATCTGCCCGTGCTGCACTTTGCAATATCTACCCGTTTTATGTATGTTTGGTTCCTTGAGTAAGTCAAGAAAGGCTTGTGATAACTAATGTCACATGCATGTCTATTTCACTCGTTTTGTAGACCCCTGATCTCAGTGTCTCATCACAGAGATCATCTGTCCACTAAAGCCACAGGTTTAACTGAAGACAAGGGATGAGCTAAATTTTATGATGGAAAACTCTTCAATTAAATAAATTCTCTCTTGTTGTCCTACAGTATGTACATACTGTAGAACATACTGTATGCATAGGTTGTGCCCCCCCCATACCTTCCTATGGTCTCCCAACAAGTTGGATTATTTTGTTTATGTACAGATACGTCTCCTTTTGGATAAAATTTTCTGACATTTTCTTCAGATATTATTTTGTAAGTTAAGAGAAAAAGATATTTGGAAGATGGAAGGTAGGAAAGGATTGACAGTAGTAAGGTTGTATATTTGCTTTCAGAATAGTTTTGATTGTTGGCCATTTCATACTTGTAAGCCCTACATCTCATTATTTAAGAAAAAATGACTGTGTTTAAAAACTCCGATTGTTAAACAAGTGTGTTATTGAAATCAAGTAGTATTCAATTAACTGAAGAAGTGCCAAGATCAATATTCTTCTGGTATTATCCTTTGCCACCTACAACAATGCAGAAAAGCAAAAATCTATATATGATGTCATCCTTATGAAGTCATGGATTACATATAATGCATGTTTTATATTTAGCAAACATTGAAGAAATATAGTTAATATTGGAGAGCTCTTGACTAGTTCACATATTGAGAAAAGATGAGGAAAGGTTGATTTTTATCATCCCTTAAGCATACAGCTGGATTTCAAGGTCCTGCAGCTCTTCTTTTCAGAATGCTTAGGCATATTTTTTGGCAAAGTAATACCAGTAATAAAAATTTCCCTTTTATTAAGGGAGAAGTTTTCAGTTGTTAAGTCTTTCAACTGCTGAACAGTGAACGGGGTACATGACGGAAGAGATCTCAAAATATCATGCTCAGTGTAGAGCATTGGTAGAGGTACTGATTGAGCTTAATTTTTTCCTATAAAAGAGAATGCTCTGACATTAGTTTTTAAAATAATTTACTATTCTGGTTAGTTTTATTTCTTTCATAATTGAAAATTATTTCTTGAGCATTTATACCATGTTAATAATTTAGGAGAATAAGTAGATTAAAAATGCTCTGTTTAAAATTTGGCAGAATTTACTGTTTGAAATATTGATCATAAAGGCTAGAGATAGCTCCAGAGGATAGAATAATTCAAGATATTCAATCTCTTCTGCCTTTTTCAGACACTGTATTGGCTTTTAGGCATGTGAGAAGTCACCACGACCCACAACAAGCAGTAGGTAAACAGTAGAACAAAACTTTCCACCACTTTCGGATCAGATTTTTGTCAGTTTCCAGGTAGATTCATGTCCTTTGTCAATTCAAGTATTCTAATAATCCCCCCGATATTTAACTGAAAGAGTTTAATATCTTATAAATTAGTGTCAAAAAATGGGTGCTCACAGTATCAAGCTTAAAGAAGGTGTTGGTTGTGTTTTAAATATTAGAAATAGCGATTTTTGTAACTGTAAGGAGATGTTTATCCTACAAGGGCTGGTTCAAGGGGCATCCAGTTGTGTTTGTTCATTAGCATGAAAATACTACATTGCTAGATGGGGAAGAAAACAACGATATTAAAGTTAAAATATGGGTTTCAAAGATGTCCCGATCTTCACTGTTAGTGTCAAAAATTCATTGAGTATGCATGATGTAATTTTTAACTTAAAGAAAAAAGGTTTTACTATGACCTCCTAGTTTGCAGTAGTTCAAAATGTGAATGAAGTGTTAATCAGTGTTACAAATAGATACAATTAATAGAATCATCTTGTGTGGTTCAGTGGCCAGCCTCCATTTAATCATTTGACCTGAAATTGACTGGCACTGATAATACTTGATAACTGTTATTTTTATTTTTGTTTTAGGAAAACAATCGTAAATTCAGTATGGCACCTATTTTAGATTGGAAGAAGCTTATGAAAGTTGATCCAGATAGTCTGCCTCATCAAGAGGAACTAGCAGACAGGTTGCTGGAGACCATGTCCAAGGTACTTAAGAGAAGTAGAGAACATAAGGGTTTGTTATATGTTCTTCCCTAAATTGTCTCTGGTCCTTCACGTACCTGAAAGATTTATTTTGTGGATTTCATAGATATTAGTATAAAAACACTGTTGTCTCTTTCGTTAGGTTGATGGGAGAGACTTAAAAACTGAAACTCCAGAAAAACTGATACATCTTTTTAAAATTACTCAGTCTCTATTGAAGGTTTGTGTTAATCCTCAATTACTACAATTCTGCAGATGCATTTGTTTATTTTTTTGTTTAAATGAAAGCATTGTTATTCTTTTTTTTTTTCTGAGAACACTGGTTACTCTAAGATAATTTATATGCTAAATGTGTGTTGGCACAGAGTACCTGCATGTAGCTGTAGGCATTTAGTAGTGGGAAGTGAAGTGAATTGGACTAACATAGTTATATAGATGGAAAATGCAAACAAATTTCTCAAAAATTGGTTAGATGTTGTAAGTTATTTGTAATGATTTTAATTTAATAGAACTTTTTGTGGGACATTGAAGTTTTAGAGCAAATAAAATTATCACCATGCATGAAGAAACACCACCATTCTAAAACTGATCCTATAAATCTGCCATACATTCTTGTATTTATTCATAAATGTACCGAAAGGAAGAAATAACAGCAGCATAGGGTAGCACATTGGTTTTAGAGAGGCTGTTTTACTGCCTTTAATTCTCAGCACTGTAAATGTTTTGAACGTTTGGGTGTCCCTATAGAATGAATTACTAAAGAAGATACTCTGAACTTCTTAACTGTCCACATAAGGAAAAATGGGAGTAATTTGATTTGTTTAAAGAAAGTCCATGTTCTTTTGTAAATATTGTCGTCATTTTAAACATGAGATGTACAGAACAATCCTAATTTATGTTAATAGTAAATATTTGTGCTTACTGTATTTTTCTCAGATGAAGACTCAAGAGGTAGAACTGGCACTAGAAGAAGTTGAAAAAGCTGGGGAAGAGCAAGCCAAATGTGGTAAACAAGCTTTAATATGCTGTTCCTAAATGATTTGTTAAATGTATTTTTTAGTATTGTTGTTGTCGTTGGTTTTTTGTGGTTTTTGTTTTGGTTTGATTTTTTGGTTGTTTTGGGGTTTCATGGGGTTTTTTTGGTGGCTTTTTCTTTAAGTTTAGGGAACTGGACAAAATACCAACTGCTCTGAAGTCAATTTCTTCAATGAAGCCAAATTTTTTTTAAGATTGAGGTTAACCATTGTTGTTTTATGTGCTTTCTGCCTTGTTGAGTAATTCACTATATCTGTTCTATTTTAACAGAAAATAATTTTAAAACAAAGATGATGAAACTTCAGAATGAATTAGAGGTATGTTTTAAAGTTTTGTTAGTTTATAGAGTGCTCTTTGGTGAGGTTTTTAAAAGAGTTTTTTTAGACTAGTATTTTAATCTTGTAAAGAGATGAAATAGCCCTACACTTTAGCAAATTCTATTAATGGGTTTTTTAATATTCACTGGTCTTGTGTGAGTAATTACTTATATTT